GCGCCTTCAGCCAGGGACTCGATAGGGGGCATAGCGCAACGCTCTCGGGGTAGCGCAGCACCCACACGCAACGAAGGTGGTGTGACCCTGTTGAGAAATTTGCGTGCGGTAGGGCTGAGCGCGGCGTTATGTATGATATATATATATATATATATATATATATATATATATATATACATACATACATACATACATACATACATACATACATACATACATACATACATACATACATACATACATACATACAGGCCTCTGGTGAGTTCGATCTGTCGCTTTGTATTCCTGTTTTTATCCATATATGCCTAGCCTAGGCTACACAAAACGAAATCTGTTTTCTATTTCTACAGTCTGTATTGCCTTTTCTCACCCTTGCCTATAGGGATATATAGATCTGCTATTGCATGCTCTCTTTCTTTCCTCTCCAACTCTTCCCTACCCACAGACCCCATGCAGGGCTATGTAACTAATTAGTAAAATAAGTAAAAATGTATTAACCTTTATTAGGCTAATAATAGATAGCATTTGTATAGCGCATATCCCCGCTCAACAGCAGGCTCTAAGCGCTTTACACTATATTATTACCCCAGCAGACCATAGAACACTCCGAAACATTCTCAGCTTCCCGGGAAGGCTATCTTAAATTAAACTGCTTATGTTGTAAGCTAGATATCTAGATCAACGCATGTAGATCTAGATCTATTTAGGCTAAGGCAGGCATATTTTTATTATGCTGGAAATGGAAACCTATAGATCTAGAATCTAGATCTAGAGTCTTGATGACTTTTTTTTCTTATGTAACTACTGACACTGTCGACTAGATAATTAGATCTCTAGAATCTAGATCTAGATCTAGATCTAGATCTAGATAATCTAGATGTAGATCATTCTAGATCTAGTTTTCGGTCTACATTATCAAAACATGTTTTGGTTTTATGCTAGATCGACATTATTTTATAACTTGGCCTAGATCTAGAATTCAATTTTAAAATCTGTTGTCCTGTTTTCATCAACATGTGTAACCTTTTCTGTAGACCAGAAGAGTATAGAATTGTAATTGTAGAGGCATTGTTTAAAAATGCAACCTTGGCCAGTTCTCTGATTGCGCTAGACCTAAGCCGCAGAAAGCTAGGCATAGGCCCCGCTAGACGCGACGCGCTTCGTTTCGATAAGGCCTAGGCTAGGCCTAGGCTAGACGCGACGCGCTTCGCTGTCGATACCGCGCCTGGTTATTTTTAGCTCGCGTCTCAGCGGTCACGTTCGCAAATGCACTGTTGTCACGGACCGCGAGACCTCGTTTCCTGTCTCTATATTTTAGAGTCTCTGATATTAGTGACAAGTTACAAAATGAATCTGTTTCTTTTCGTTTTCTCCTAATACTTTTGTTTTGTGAGAAATATTACTTACCTTTTTAAAAAACCAATTCATGGGTAGAGCAAGATAAAAACTCTAACTCATAACAGCATATACTTTACGAAACTGTCAAATTATGTGTATACTGGTCTGCAGAATACTGCAGATAGTGCCAGATAGATGCCTAGGCATAGGCTGTGTCATGAGACAATACTGACAGACAGTAACCTAGCAGAACACAATCGACAGCCTTGCTCTGCCACTTTGTTGGCCAATTGAAAGGTATGATGAGTGTAAATGATTGAGGCTTTTGTCTGCTTCGTTTCAGGTGTGTGAACGGTTGTAGATCTTCTAGATCTAGATCTAGATTTCTAGATCTAGATCTAGATCCTACAACATAGTGCAGGCGAGTCTTGTGGCTATTCTCACCCGGTGCGCGTTCACCCTAAACCATAGAATTCTACACTGTGAGGAAAAATTGTAGAATTCTGTGCCGTGAACAAACGTTCCATTACAACTGTAGCCTACTAAAAGCGTACAATTTTGTCTGTGGCTGGGCAGTGGAGAGAGAGAGAGAAAGAGAGAGAGGAGTAGCCGCGAGAATTTCCGGGCAAAACAAAATGGCGACCCGCGTAGTTCGGCTCGATTCGAAAAGTTAAATAGCCGTAGCATCTTTGTAGACAACCAAATTAATTTACTTTTGTGTTTTAACATCATTTTTTAACTTTGTTTTGGTCAATTTGATCGTCCACACCGATAGACAGTATTCAGAAAGAGACAGAGAGAGAAAGAAGAGGGGAGGAGTTGATCTTGCGAGAACTTCCGGGCGGGTGAGAATAGCCACTTTCATTCTACATTGTCACGGAATCATTGTGTAGTGTAGGTCTCTCAAACGAAGTGACTATTCGGATTCGAGTCCGAATATATGATAAAGTATAAAGTGTTTTTCGGACTCTGATTCTTGTCCAGCATGACATCACTTCCGACTTCCGACTTCCTGTAACTCGTGACTCCGGCTTCCTGTCCTGCCTCACTCGTGACTTGCCTCAGGCTGGGTAGAGACCGGGATTACTTCGGGCAAAAAGGCGTTTTGTGCAGGAGCCGAGTTTTTATCTTATGATGAATTTGAGGCCGGCCTGAAAAGTTATAGCGCTTCTAATAAATGTTTATTTGTCAAGAGGTCATCAGAAGCAATTAAAGATGGCTCGTTAGCGTGTGTCGGGGTCGGATGGGCGGCCTGCACACGTGTGACTGTGTGCGTGTCAGGCAGGGGGGTGGGGGGGGCACTATCGGACCGGGCGTTGAACGTCGCATACGCGTCAGTCTTTTTCCCCCTGGCAACTGATCATTACAATAATTATAAAAGCTAATCTTGACGTAGATCTACGTAATGAGTTGTGTGCTGGTCTATGGAATCAACAGTTGCCGTGCTCAGCTCTACACAGCAACACAACTTTTTTATTGGTAA